TGCGAGAGCTGTCAAGCTTACAAAGTAGAATAAAATAAGCCTCTGGGGACGATGCACGTCACCGCAAATAAATCAACTATGGCAGCAAGTTACCATGGATTTGGTAGGACCACTACCAAATCGCGGATATCTAGCTGTTAAACATGCAAGATCGGTTTTCAAAATGGCTAGAGATGTGCCCGCTGCGAAGTGCCACCGGCAAAGCAATCGCACGAAGTCTAGCCGAAAATATAATTTACCGACACGGGTGTCTCGACGAAGTCCTTTCAGACAACGGGGCACAATTTCATTCCGCGCCCGTTACCCATCTCTTACAAGCTCTCGGCATTAAACAGCGGTTCACACTCTCCTACGCTCCACATTGTAACCCGACGGAGCGTACGAACTGCACGATTAAAACAATGATTTCGCAATATGTGGGGCGCGAACATAAGCGCTGGAACGAGCATCTAGACGAATGCATACTTCGCGTATAATACTACGGTTCACGAGACGACGGGTTACACACCCGTATTCCTGATTTACGGCCGCGAAATCAAACCTTCCCGTACCATCACCGCCTGTTAATCTCCCGACAAATGCCGTACACCGCCGTTTACAAGAGAGTACGAACTCGTGCGAATCAACCTTGCGCGAGGGCACGCGCAGGGGGCCGATAAATTTCGGCGCCAATTTCGCGTTGAAAGCAGAACTTTTGTTGGAGAGGGGATGGCCCCGTTTCCATACTCACTCTCCAACTTTCGGTTGCCAGGCTCAAGTTCGGGCATATAAAGGAGGGGATGATATAACGACACACCCGAATTACCTCCCATTAATTAATTATAAATCTTAATTATAAGTCCCCGACCGACCATCCGTTGGGGTACTGACACGGTGATCCTCCTCCGCGATCCCATCGTCGGATAAATTCGCGTAAACTATCAGACGCAATACAAAGCTAAATAGCACGGATTTACGTGCTATGAACGTGAATATATATATATATATATTGTCGCGTTCGCGGCGTTACTTCCCGTGATCGCGATACTCGGCGGAGCGCTCTCGGAAAAGAAGAACACTGTTTCAAGAAAGACTCGCTCTTTATTAAACCAACGGTACAGAAACGCGTCCGGCCACCGCAGAATTCGGCCGTCAAATCTATAAAACATCGGAGAACGACGCGTTGCCCAAGGGCCGATCCTCTATTCAAACTCTTACGATTGATATTGATTTATTTCTTAGCAGCGCCGAACGGAATACCGCACGGCGCGCACACATATATATATATATATATATATATATATAGATCGCATGCTAGGCCACCGCCATTGGCCCCGCTACCGATCGTGCCACTGAACACCTTCGCGGAATCGCCGAACGCGTTCAACGAATTTTCACGAATCTTTCGGCGAGATCATCCCCGAAATCGATCCCAAAACCCGAGCTGTACCCGATTATTCCCGATCTACGGCCGGCGGGTATATTAATAGACTCCGGCGGACGATCTTGACCTATCACCGGCGAAACAGTAGACTAGTCCAGTGATCTCGATACCCATTCAAGAAAGCGATCTAGGGCGCTTCCTATCGAGCCAAGAGCTTCTGGCCGATCGTTTTCTATCTCCAGAGTACACAAGTTTCTCACAGGTTAAGATGCTTCTTAGCCTGGGCCCCGAAGTAGGCCCTTGTGTGCAAATTCCATTACTGGCGACAAAAGAACAGGGAATTTCCTGCCTCCAAGCCACAGCAAGCACTAATATCCTGATTCCAGCCTAAGAAATCTGACCAGACTAAAGACTAAAGACAAGACGAAACGCCTGACAGACAATCAGCTGATCGGCCACCGCACGCATTCGGAGACGCCGCGCTACGTCGCGCCCCGCGCGCTTACTACCGCAACGCGCCGGATTTCGCGGAAAGACAGCAAGGCGATTGTAACGATTCCCGGAATCCGCACAACTTTTCGCGGAACAGCGAATACATTTATCCTTAAAAACCGAATTCCGGAAAACAAACTGTAAATATTGTAAATAAGAGAATGAAGTTCGCCAGTCAGTACTATAAATAAGTTCAGATTGTTCCAAACATACATACGTGTACATATTAAAAACATTCTATTATATATTTTATTTCTCTTCGCAATCCTGACCACACCCGATCGACGCTATCCCACGAAACACGCCGATGACCGTTTTAATATTAGATATCGTGTCTCGCTCATGCCCGTTGTATACTTATGCTTAATGTACAGACTTGCAACAGATCCAACTTAACGATTTATAATATTCAATAATATTCTTTTTTTATTAAATAAAAAATGTGTGTCTTGTTCTAATATTCTAATATTCTTGAATAGTTGGAGCGGTTACAATTCTCTTTCTCTTGCTTCCTTGTCTTATTAATGAAAGGTTGAAACCATTATTCTTATATAAGAAAAAATATTATTAATAACACTTTTGGGAAAAGAAAAGAATCATGGAGTCCGCTGGACCTAACAACATCTTTAGAGCCGGTATTCATAATCAATTCTTATATTTAAGTCTTAACTAAATTTACACAGCTATCTTATTGATTGAAATGTTAAGACAATCTTACATATAAGAAGTAACTATCACACTAAATATCACACTAGCTCGGTATTCATAGTCAGTTCTTATATTTAAGATTATCTTAAGATAACAGATAGCTGTATGAACTTATTTAAGACGATTTTAAATATAAAAACTGACTATGAATACTGGCCTAAGACAATATTAAAAAACGCCTTATAAGCTGATATTCATAATTAATTCTTAAAACAATTTTAAGATCTTAAATAATGTCGTAAGATACCAAGCTTTGTGATTGGTTGGTAATCTCTTAAAACAATACTTAAGACAATCTTAAATATAAGATTCAACTATCAATACCGGCCTAAAGACAACTTTTGGTACAATCATCCGTGAGTAGTACATGGCACGGTCAATAGATGGATGTAATTGCGTGTCATTTCTCGTAACTAGAAACCATATAAAATAAACCAGATAAATTAAAAGACATTACGTTTATGAAATCTTTGATCATGTTCTAATGAAATAACGAAAAAATGATGTTCTAAGACATCGCTTTTATGGATTTATTTTCAAGGCATTATCAGAGATACTATAATGAGATTTCAGCTAATATCTCAGGAGAGAAATACATTTCATAATTTGAATGGGTTCAAAATAAATTATTTTTTGGATTCTCTGTGCTATCTGGAATATTATGTCCCAGATAGCAAAATGCCAGCAGTATGCCGGCAATATACCAGCAGATCTGATCATAACTTCGCAACAGATTGCTACGAAGCTGTTGCTAAGCTGCTGCTTCCCAATTAAACTTAGTTTTTTGTGGCGCAGCTTGCCAACATAGAATGACGACAAAAATGCGGCAGAAATCAAGCATTACATGCTGTCTTACTATAACAGCAAACATTATGCAAAATCTGTCATATCAAATACTGACAGCAAAAACGCAGTAAAAATTGAGCACAGTGCGCCGTCATAACGTGACAGCAAAATTGCGGCAGATATAAAGCACAATCTGCTTTATCAGCTGTTGTAAGCAAAAACAGTGTCACGTCCTGCATGACAGTAGTTTTGATTCGTTTTTATCAGTCTGCATTCGCCGACTCTACCTTGGAATATCGAGCCTTGTGACGTAATTGATCGACAAATGTTAAGAATTGATGAAATAAATGAAATAAATAAATTGGCACTTACTCAATGAATATAATAATTATAAATCCTCGGAATACAAATTTCCTCCTTCTTAATCTATATTTATTAATAGATATAGAATAAAATCCTTGGATGCTTCCCAGTTCAAAATTTCGATTTAAGATGGAGATGGAATTACAAACATAATTTGTTGAC